CTGTCCTCACATTGGCTCATTCTGCTGTGTAGACTTTCAATGGAGTTTTTAATCTCCTGGAAATCTGTTTGCATCTGCTTTATGGATTCCATTTGTTTCCTGTGTTGGGATTCCATCATGTTCCTCAGCTCCTCTCTAGATTTATTAATCATGTCTTGCACTATGGGCACAATCTCTGCTGTTATCTGAGAAATTATTTCTGGTTTCATTTTTTTTTTTAGGTCCTCTTCTTTTGTTGTCAGTTCAGACTCCAGGTGGTTGAGTATCAGATTGTTCCATCTCATTTCCCTTTGCAGTTGCTCTAGGTGATCCAGAAGTCTGGTTTTGAGGCTTGTTTAAGTGTCTTCTCATTTTGACGGGGTGTTGTGGGGGGGAAGTGGTGGTGTTGGTGCCTGCGTGGCTCACCTCCTCTGTCCTGGATTGGTTCCACAGTGGCCCGGAAGCCTCCTCGTCTGCCTATTACAATTTTTTTGAGACAGGATCTCATTTTATAGTTCAGGTTGGCCTTGAACACACTCTGGAGCCCAAGCTGGGCTCGAAGTCAGCAGTCCCCCTACTTCGGCCTTCCAAGTGCTGGGATATCAGGCATGTACCACCATGGCTACAATTGTTCTATTTTAGTTTTACTTTTTGTTAATCCTTTATTATATCCAATTTATACATTAAAATTTATCATAGCTATGTTGATGTAGGAAAAAAAATACATATAAAGTTTGATCTTATCCATGATTTCAGGCATCTCCTGGGGATCTTAGAATGTACCCCATGTAGTTAAGAGGGGGCTACTATGCTTTGTTTGATGATCATAGAGGTAGTCACTGGAGGAGACCCCATGAAAAGGTGATATTTGAGTTACAGACTTGTTGAGGGGAAGAAGTGAGCCATGGGTACGTTTTGGGAAGAGCATTCCAGGCAGAGGAAATATCTTGTGCCAAGGTCGTTAGGTGGACCCATGCCTGGCACACCAGGCCAGTGAGGGGTCATCATGGTTGCAACTGAAGGAAGAAGGGGTGGAAGACAGGCAAAGAGGAAAAGGCTATAGTGGTGCAGCCAGCAAGGGTCTTGAGACCTGTAGGGCTTTGGGCAGAGAGGAGTGGCAGACTCTGTCTACTTTGGGAGGGTTCATTATTGGACATTCCCTTGGTTTTCTCTGTCCTACACTGTTGCTTTCCCCCTCTGGCAAGCTTGTTTCCCTGCTCTGTGTGCTGGCTGCCTGGCTCTGAGGGTCCCTGAGAGTCCTTCTCAATGAGCGCCAAGCATAGCCCTCAGCCTGGGTTTGGAGACAGCCATTCTGCTATTGGCTCAGGTTGGTGAAATCGTGTTGAGACTTGCACGTGAGAAACTTTGGACACAGCCCTCCGTTCTGACCCCATTCACAGCTGTGTGAATCTGCGTGGGTCTGAGCCAGCCTCTGACAACCTGGGGCCCTCAGCAGGAGGCAGATGGTTGCTCAAATCTGGCTTCTGGGCTCATGTTCCTTGCTCCTCAGAGTCTGGGAGAGGAACAAGTGTGCCCCATCAGGACAGAAGGAAGATACTGGTGCTCAAAGGAAGTTGGCCCTCTGAAGTGTGAAGTGTGTGGAGAAGGTGGTTTTAGGGGGACCTGAAATGAGGCCACAAAATTCTTCGTCTACATCTGTTTTACTAGAGAAGTGATACCCATAATTATAGATTATGAAATTATAGAAATTCAGGAAAAGATTGAGCATTGAAATTTTACTATATTCCCACCAGCCCAAGACGAATAGTATTTCAGGGTATTTCCTTCCTTACCCCATGAGTTCTGGAGCACCGTCACCCCACCACCCATGCTCCACACAGTCATTCACTCTCGGATCCCCCGGTCATCCTCACACCCACAGCTCACTCATGTGCTTGTGGACACAGCATCACGTGCACACACATGTGCTCACCTACCCCATTCTATGCTTGGCCATAACTCATAGTCCTGTACCATTGTCCACACACATAGTACATGCCCGTACAGACTCACATGCGTGTACATTCATGGGCTCGCTGGTGATCACATTCTCACACGTGCACATTCTTGCTCATGTACACAGATGACTCATGTGCTTGTTAATTCTCACATTTGCACCTTCCTCACTCATACCTTTACTCAACTCATTTGCACACTCACATGTATACTTGGCACAAATGCTCTCAGTACACTCCCTTTTCGACACTCTCATAGCCGTGGTCACGTATGCACTCTTGTTTACTCACATTGGTCACTCTCATAGTCTTTCTGTCACATTCACCTTCATACACACCTGCACTCACACCCAGCCTCATTCAGACACTCACAGACTCATATGCTTTGTGCCTGATGTTTAGAGTTGGCCAGTTCCTTGTTATTTGGTGTTGATGAATGATGAATCTTCTGCTCTAGCCTCCCCAGCTCTATCTACCTGTTTCTTCTCCTTCCCTCCCTTGTGCTCACTCACAGTTCCACACTCATCTGGATGTGTTTGCACAGGCTTGCTCTCATAGGCTTCCCCCACTCAGACATGCATCTATTCTGCCAGTGAGGACAGACCCACTGACTTGGTGGCCCCTCATCCTCTCCCTCCTCATGTACCATACTTGCGTGCACACTTGTAGAGCCATGGCTGGAATCCTGCAGTATATGCTGTCTTAAACTCAGGTGCCTTCCCTCAGCCGTGGACTCCTCCCAAACCATACATATTCTGGGGAGACAGGCTCGCTCGCTCTCCTTGGCTGTCCCTTCCTGCCCCTCCTGGTGAGAAGCCTGGCTGCCTCCTTGCATGTTGGCAGAGAGGGAGTATAAAGCCTGCTGACCTGGGGTGTTGAAGTCTGGGATGTCCACAGCGCAGCAACATGCTAGGAAGAGCCCGTGGGCATTGAGGTGCCCCCAGGCCCCACATGGCACCTTGCTTCAATAGGACACTGGGCTCAGGACCTGTGTCTTCCTGTGCTGGCCACCCCTGAGATCCCACCCTACCTGTCCACTGGGACAGGAAGCTGAGCCCTGAGCTTTTACGTGGAGAGCAGTGGCCTGAGACAGGAAGAGATTTGAGAGGAGTCAAGAGAGTAGAGAAATGATAATGAATGTGAGGAAGGAAAGTCCTTGCTGGAGGGAGCCAAATGGTCCTAAGCATAAATGTGCATAAATAAAAGCTATTTTAAATGCCCTTTAACTGCCCTCCCAAGCTGTTTATTGCTGGGTCTACCTCAAAATAAAACCAAAAAAGTCCAAACTTAGGATTGTATGATATTTATTTCTTACATCCCAAGGAAGTACCTTGGGATATAAAGTATCATTTCCTCATTTCCCTTTGATGTGGTAGTGGTGTTTATGGAAAAAATATTAACTGCGATTACAGTTCAATCAGTAATAAAATCACTGCAGTGGAGGGAGAGCATGCAGGGCAATTGCAGGCATTAGGGTACTGGGGACCGAGCTCCCTCTGGCAGGGGCATGGACAGCATAGCTGCGTGACTGTGAGCACCTCATACCTCCTGTGCTTGTGCTAGGAGGTAGCTCAGCCTTGGACAGGTACCATGTGCACATTATTCGTAATAACAGATCTGTTTGCTTCCTGCAGAAAGTAATTTACCTCACTCAAGGATGCAATTGACTTCAGGTGCTTCTTATTTCAATGTGGAATTGAACCCAGTAATAGGACTTTAAATTAACAGAGAAACCTTATTGCAAGAAACTTAGTGTTTTCATAGCTTTGTGGCCTGTTTTTTCCTATTCATTGGGAGCTGGTGTGAGCTGCATCCCTTGACATTCTATGGCAGAGCAGGTGAATTCAGACAAATTAAAACATTCATACTGAAGAGTTTATCTCCTCCCTTATAATTGGGGAATATTTTGCAAGGAACAAACATCTCTATTGCCCCCCAACTTTGTTTTGAGGTGCTGGGAGCCAAACCTAGCCTCCTCTAAATGCTAAGCAAGCGCTCCAACCCTGAGCTACAATCCCCACTCCTAACGAATCCCCTGTAGTGAAAACACAGAGATCTGAACAAGAGAAAATAAGATCATCAGGTTTAGGCTCTTATCTCAGCAATGTGATTCCTAAGCTTTCATTTGTAGAAATTAACCCAAAATGAAGAGAATTTTAAAAAAGAATTAAGATGTGCTATTACATTACCAACTCCCTATAATGAATGTAATCATATTATTAGTATTGCAAACATGTACTAATAAAAAATTTTTGTAAATGAAAGAAAACTATGCCCCTAAGAAGTTGATTACAGTGAAAGTTATAATGAAAGAAAACAACGGAAAAACCTAGTGAAGAAATGGCTCTTTATCATATGAAATATAATCACCAATAAAATCATATTAATGTTTATTGAGCATTTACTATGTGTCAGAAACTGCTCTAAGAGTTGTGTAAGGATTATATATCTCATTTACTCTTGACAGCCATGATGAGACAACCACTGTTTTCATCCTCATGTTACAAATAAGAAAGCAGAGGCACAGAAGGGTCCAGTAACTTGCCCCTGTCACCCCGGGGGAGAGTCTGAGAACTCCCCATCCACGAGAGCTCCTGATACAGGCAGTGAAGGGCGGAGAAACTCGGAAAATGTTAGCCAGTTAGGGAGAGGGAAATTATGGCCAACTTTCAATTTAAATTTGTTGGCATTATACATAATGCTTTCATGATAAATTTTTAAAAAGGAATCCATTGTGATGCGGAATGGCCTACTAGAATTTTGGGGAGAGAACTTGAATTTTTGTGGTTGAGGAAAAAAAGGATTCCACTGAAGAGCAGAGGCGCAGCTTCATTCTAAGTGTGTAGCTCACGGTCTGGGTCTCCGGCCTCTGCACAGTGAGATGCTTCTGGCGATGACGTGAGCCGTGGGCCGGCATGCGGTGTGGTAAGAAAGTCACATGAGCCACAGTGTCAATGGCAGCTGGAAAAAAAGGAAGTTGGAGAAGCCTAGGGTGAATGATTTGGAAAAACATAAGCTCAGTGTGCCCCTCATTGAAGTGATGTTTTTCACAATCTTCTCTTCCAGTCTAGAGAGCTGCAGACCCTCCATAACCTCCGTAAACTCTTTGTCCAGGACCTGACCACCCGAGTGAAAAAAGTGAGTTCTATTTTATCTGAATGGTTCTGAGAAGAAAAGAAAAGCTGGCTGGGAAGAGTCATCTTCAGTTGAAATATCACTTGCTTAAATTGGGGCTGGTTATGCTTAAAAATTAATTACTTCGTGCCAGAGAATGTTATTAAAAGAATGTGCTGGAGGCAAAAATTACTTAGGAACATTTTCTCATCTGAGTTTTCCTTCTTAGTGAAAGAAAGTTATAATGCTTTCCCTGGCTCTCATCTCAAATAACATCCATTTATCCGGTCCCTGCTCTGTGAAAACTCTGTGCCTGATTCAGGAAGATCTAGAGCAGTCTGGTCACCAGACAGTGTTGCCCCAAGGCCTGGTGACAGCAGATGGCCAGAGCCTCCCTCTGTGTGGGAGGGGCTACATTAGGGTGGGGGTCAGTTTGTTAGGTGCTATAGCACCAGGTATCTTGCTGGCCTTCCCCAGCAGCCATGCCCTCAGGGCTTAGCATTCTGTTTTGCCAATGTGGAACAAGGGTCAGATGTTAAATGACCTACCCCACATTGTACCACCGGAGAGGGCCGGAGATGGGTTTGGATTCCAGGTCTGTGGGCTTTCTGAGGCTGAGCTGCTTCAAGCTGCGCACAGTGATCTTGGGGGAGCTCCATGTTGGGGTACCTGCACAGGCAGAAGGGAGGACCAAGGGGTGAAAGCAGCCAGAGGCTACTCTTTCAAAATGTTTTAAAGTGATAGATGAGGAGCAGTGGGTCCCAGCGGAGGGAGGAAAGGATTGAAGGTATAAGAAGGTGTGTGTATATGTGTGCACATGTGTGTGTGTGTTTGAATATGTGCATGTGTGCTTGCACGCACATGTCTGTGAAGGAGCAAAGGGAAAGGTTATGTAGATCAAGAAGAAGAGGAAATCAAGGAGTTAGATCTGAGAAAGATAGAATTAATAGTGTGGATGGTTATATTAGGCTGGGTAAGGAGAAGAGAGCTATTTTCCTAGCAGGAGGAGTGAAGAGTCAGGCTAGAGCTGTTCACAGGGAACTCTGAGACCATGGAAAGAAGTCACATCTGTTGACTTGGGTCCTCAGTTAATGTGGAGGTTTGGTCCTCCATAGAGAAGGAGGGAAGAGGGTGGAGAGTTTAAGGAGACGAGAGAAAGCTCAGGAAGCCAGGGAGGGCACTAACTAGGGTTGAGTAAATGGCTTGCTGAGCAGGGACTGAGTGTCCAGCTGATGGACAGGGAGTGGGTTCGGCATGGTGCCTGGAAGCATTGCTTAGAATCTTAGAAATGCAAGTAAAGGTAGAAGGCAGAGAATGATAGGAAATTTCAAGGCCTGAATTCAGTGGTCAGGTGGGTAGATAATGACTACCGAATGCATGGGCCCGTGGAACCTGGAGCAGGGAGGAGCGTGAGGCCAGCAGAGTGATGGGCATTCTAGAGAGAGGGAGGACACATGACTGGAGCTTAGGACAAGGACCGAAAAGACTCAGTCACAGGGAGGAGGTGGAAGCTGTGACCCTAAGGAGCCTCTGGTCAGAGAAAGGGTTAAGAGCTTGAGATCAGACTTCCCTGACTTCATTATATAAGCTTGCTAGGAACAAGCTAGCTGTTAGGCGAGTGGTTTTCAGCCACTGGTCCTCTGGCCAGAGGCATCAGTGTCACCTGAGAACTTGTTTATACAAATTCTCAGACCCGTCACAGATCTACAGAATCTGGGACTGGAAGTGGTGCCCAGCAATCTGAACTTTAACAAACCTTCCTGCAGGGATTAGGGTGGAGCTTCAAGTTTGCGAACCTGTGTTTTAGGCTGAAGAGATGGTTATAAAGCCATTGCCCTTCCGAAAAAGGGTGAGGACGTCTTCTGTAATCATGGGAAGCAAATGTGTTTCGCCATTTGTGAACTCCAGGAGGTGTGTGCACGAGTATGTCCATAGTTATCTGTGCCACTTAGCTTACCAGAAGTTCAATGGTTTTGACAATTTCAGGATCCGATAAAGATCTCGAGGGCTTACCCAGCACCAGGATGTGACTATGTGGAGACTGACTCATCAGGGAAATGCATAGAATTGAAAGCTGAAGGGATGTGCAGAGGCCTTTGGGGCTTCCAGGTTTCCACAGCCACTTGGTTACGAGACTGCTGACTCGTTATCTTGTCCTGATGATTGAAACCGAGTTTGGGTGTTGGATTTAAGTTTCACAATGGTTCTTCTTAGTAAGTTTTGGAACTCTTTCTTTTGCAAAGAAAAATCTCACCTTGCTTGCAAAGAAGAGGTGTCTTTCACCTGCAGCTTTCAAAAGCACATTTGATGATTTTTTCCCCTCTAGCCCTCTAAGAAATAGCTCCTTCCCACCACACTCTTGGTGCTAAGGAAATTAATTGGGAAGTTCACTGAATCTAACTGCGTGCAACTTCTCTTTATTTTCACTTTCATACTACCCCGAAAGGAGGGGATTGTAGGTGAAAGTTTGAAATGCATCATGTGCTCTGTCCCTGGCTGGGCCATGGGCAGTGTGCCTTGTTACTCACCAATCCCGCATGGTGTTGGCACAGAGTGTGGAGCTGGACAGTGATGATGGAGGAGGCAGCGCCGCCCAGAAGCAGAAGATTTCCTTCCTGGAGAACAACCTGGAGCAGCTCACCAAGGTGCACAAGCAGGTAGGAGTATTCTGCTGTCTCCCTCCACTTCCCTGGTTTCCTGGAGTGCAGCCCTGTTGGGTGGCTGCGTTGTGTAGAGGAGGATCTGATGCTGACAGTGAAAAGATTATACTTAATCAGAGAATGGGAGCTCTGGAAGAGCCTTTAATTCTTTTAGTCTTGGGCAAAGTTTAGTCCCAGTTCCTGGGGAGGCTGAGGTAGAAGGAGCACTTGAGCCCAGGAGCTTGAGACCAGCCTGGGCAACATAGCAACACTCTGTCCCCAAAACAAAAAAATCCTTTAGTCCTCAGTGACTTCCTTTATATGTAAAAGACTTTGTTTGATTGAAGCCAGATCTAGAGAACTGATGGAGTGGAAGCTCTCTAGAGTTTGGAGAGTAGGGTGTCCAGAGTCCTGTCTTTTCATCCTGCCTTCACACCAGCCTCGGGCCCCAGCTGGCCTTGATGTCTCCCACCATGCCTCCAAGGCACCTTTGTGAACCCAGAGGCCCAAGAGAATGCAGAGTGGACCCCCTGAGCTAGAACCTTCATTCTTACAGCTGAGGAAATGGACTGCTTCACTTCCATGGTGGGAGAACAGACCCGTGCCCCAGTACCCCTTGTGCCCTGCTGCCCGCTTCCTAGAGATCTTGGATGCCCTCTTGGATCCTTGCCTTGCCCTGGCATTTGCCTACATGGAAGACAGATCACTGTGTCTAACACACACAGGATTCAGGCAGGTCGTTTATCTCTGGTCCCCTCTGCCCAACACTGGCCTGCCCGTGACTGTTTTCCCGCTCTAGGATGTGGGCTGTGAGGGAAGCGCTCCGACTGCCTGCACCACAGGCCCGAGGGGACCTTGTTTCTCTCTGACTTAGGTCTTTTCAACAGTACTAGTGATGAGATTTCCCCCGGAGGAGATGACAGAGCACCGTAGTTGAAATTATTCAAACAAATTGTTGATGATATGTAGAAGCAGGAACTGCCAGGCACCTTGAAATCTGGCTCTGCAATTCATTGTTTTATTCATGAATTCAATGAATATTTATTAAAAACCGACTGTCTGCAGGGCAGTGGAGCTGGTGCCGGGGTGAACCAAGCAGATCAGACCAGCAGTACCTCACTTTGATAAAGTGCTTTCGGATTTTCAAAACTTTCTTTACTCCACCTGTTCCAACCTTGGCCTTGTTCAGTAGTCTTTTTTTTTTTTTAATTTTATTGGTACATCTTAGGTATACAATATAATGCCATTCATCATTGGAAATTTGCACCTTTACATCATCTCTCTTGGTTCTTATTTTTCCCCCTTCCCCTGCCCTCCCTTCAACCCCTCCATCCCTCCCTATTTACAAAGGATTTGTTTCCATTTTTTCATTTTCTCATATTAATTCCATTCCCTTCTTTCCTTTCCCCTAGCCCTCCCACTTCCCCTTCCCCTTTGCCCCTTTTCTTCCTATTTCACAGCAGTCTTTGTTTTGTGGATAGGGAACCCCAAAACTTCCTGGGGTCAGGTGACTTTCTTTGAGTCAGATGGCAGGAATAACAGGGCTGGCACCTGAGCTGCTTATCACCCCAGGGCTAGCCCTTTGCTTCTTGATTGTGGGTCTTAGGTAGGAGAAACAAGCAGTAACCTCCTCTTTCCTGTTAGCCTCTGATTCTGTGGCAAAGCTGGGTCCAAACACAGTACTAGTGTAGATAGTGATCCTGCAGGAAAATGCACCTGTAGAAAGCTCTAGAAGACACAAGGTGTTTACCAAGTGCTTTAAAATTTTTCCCTTGTTTAAAAATTATTAAGGTTGTGATACACAATAAATACGAATGAAGTCTTGATCCCTTTTTCAGCAAGTGCTTTTGAACTGACTTTAAATCTCTCAGCTTTTAGCTAGGTATGGTGGCACAGGCCCGTAATTCCAGCATTCTGGGAGGCTGAGGCAGGAGGATCACAAGTTTGAACCCGCCCTGGACGGTTTGGAGACTTAGTGAGACCTTGTCAAAAAATAAATAAATTTAAAAATAGACCGGGGATGCAACTTAGTGCAAAGGTCCTGGATATAATTCCCAGTATCACAAAAACAAAACAACAACACAAAACTCAAGTTTCTCATGCTAATAGCCTAGTAGTAAAATTTTTCACACTATCCCCTATCCTCCCCAACAAACAAACAAAAGAAGTAAATTCTGCCCCAAATGGAAAGTTTCCTGTGGCTGGAAAGTGACTTGTCCTGCCTTGCTTTTTCGGAGACAGGGTCTCACTGTGTAGTCCAGGCCGTCCTGGAATTTCCAGCCGTCCTCTTGCTTCAACCTCCTGAGCAGTGGGGCTTGGAATTCCGGGCTGGAAATGGCTTTTAATTCTGTCTTCCTTCCTGCACCAAAACTCCTTGCTCACCCTGAATCAGGGCTTTAGGGAACTAGAGTCCCAGGACGCAGGATTTCTGTCTTCCTTTATGGCTTCAGGAGTGTGTGCTCCTATGGGTTGTCAAAGACTACCCAGCAGGGGTGGTGGTTCCGCTGCTGGGGCAATTTGGCTGGCCGGCAAAGCCGCCCTTGGTGACTGGCCCTCTTTCTATCCTGCTGCAGCTGGTGCGGGACAACGCGGACCTGCGTTGTGAGCTGCCCAAGTTGGAGAAGCGGCTGCGAGCCACCGCTGAGCGCGTGAAGGCGCTGGAGAGCGCGCTGAAGGAGGCCAAGGAGAACGCCGTGCGCGACCGCAAGCGCTACCAGCAGGAGGTGGATCGCATCAAGGAGGCCGTGCGAGCCAAGAACATGGCCCGGAGGGTGCATTCGGCCCAGATCGGTAGGCGTGCTCAGGGTCACGCCTGAGGGTCAAGAGCTACAGGGAGCCTCCACTAGGACCCAGTTGATCTGAAAGGCCGCGATGGGTCTTGAGGGTCTTGGCCCCCACTACACCTCTTGTTAGTCTTGGGAGGGCGAGCCTGTCAAGCGCCTGTGGCTCCACTAGAGTTCTCCAGGGTTCCGAGCTGGAGACCCCATCCTGCGTGGTAGGCAGAGGTCTATGGCAATAAACAAAGGTACCCACTTGGAAACCCTGGAATATATGACAGATTCTCAGCCCGACAGTCCCTTGTGTTCAGCACCATCCAGGGCCATAAAGGATCTGTAATGCAAGCAGAGACCTCAGAAAAAGCTGCTTCCAGGTGCAGGTTTGGAAACGACTTGGAAAGAGCCAAGCTGGCATTTGTGATCAGGGTGTGGTTAGAAGCTGCCAGGGGACCTGTATGGATCTGACACTCAGCCCATGTACACGATGAGGGTGCAGTTTACATCACAGTTTCCAGGTTAAAGCCATAAGAACAAAAGGGACTTAGGGACAATCTGTAAAGAGCGTTATAAAATTGAAACATCTCTACTAACATGGCATGTTATTTCTCACCAGATATTGTGCAAGATGTATTGCCAATCGGCAACTTCAAGTTTCTCATTTTAAAATCCCTTAGTGATTCATTACATTTATTGGATTTCATATCCTTTGAGAATCTACTGAAAACTGTGGACCCTCTCCCCAGAGAAACACAGTGCCTTTAGAATTCTGCACCTAATTTCAGGGACTACACAGATCCCTATGAAATCATTGGGGAAACTATGGCCCTACCTCACCGAAAAAGGAAAGTCCTTTGTCTCTAATTTTATTTTATTATTTAAAGATATGCTGACTGATGCCTAAGCTCTCTGTCCTGTAACTGTCTGGATATCCTGGAGTCACTGACTGTACTGGTAGGAGGCCAAACCCCCCTTTTCAGAAAGGCCTGGTGGTGGATGTGATCATCATGTCGATAGACCCATCAGCCATAGGTATCGGAGTGACCGTTCCAGCTTTTGGTGACTATTTGTTTCCTCTCCTTTGTGCTGGATGCAGCCAAGCCCATTCGCCCAGGACACCACCCAGCCTCATCTCCAACAGCGGTTCATGCCATCCGAGGAGGAGGAGGAGGAGGAGGTGGATCTTCAAACTCTGCTCACTACCAGAAGTAAAAACAGGGTGAGTGCCTGGTGTCTGGGGTGGTTTCTCTTCGGAGCAGCCTTGGGGCATATTTGGAGGGAGAGCCTCATTGCCTTCCCTGAGCCCCAGCTTGGCCATGTCAGCCACATGCATGTGACATTTAATAGAGAGAAGTTCAGTTATACTGCAGGACAGGCCTAGGTCCGGGTGAGCAGAGACCTGGGCCTGGCCTCATCTCAGTTTAGAGCCCTGGGATTTTCTAGTGGAGCCACCTGGGGCCCTTAGTCCCCTGGGCCAGGCCTGGCCTAATTGCCTCCAGGAACAGGAGAGGTGTAGTGAATGACGCACTCGAGCTTTCTTTTGTCTGTGGGACTCCCTTCTGTAGTAGCTGACCTCCGACAGGGCATCACCTGTTTGTCAACTGCACAAGTTCATCCAAGACACATGGGAGGGGGAGATGGCTTTAAATCTCAGGAGTTGAATATAAAAAGAGCTAGATAATAGCCATTTCTTATAATTACTATTTGGCCACAAGTGGGGTTTTGAGATGCTGGTCTGTAAGCCTCTCTCCTGCAACCCACATGGCCAGCATCACCCTAAAGAAAAGAAATGATACGCTTTAGAGAAGAGGAAAAGGGGAGCTCTCAGCCTGTGCTTTATCAAAAAATAGAGAAAAGTGGTTTCTGGTTGGGTGACACAAAGACAGTAGGTGGCCAGAAAACTTTGTGTAGGAAAACAACGACTCTGCCTTCGTAAAGGAGAGCACGGCTCGAAGCACTGACCTCAGACTCCAAGCCTTGGCTAGGGAAGCTCACTTCACACTGATTTCTCATGCATTCCTTTCTGTCAGAGTAAGAAGGTGAACGTAAGGGCAGGCCAAGGCAGGCTGCAGTAGGCATCATGTCCACCAGCACCTGTCATGTCCTAGGTGGGTAACTGGGAAATGTCCTGGCAGTGGGCTACCCCATTCAGATCCAACCTCTCCTGAAATAAAATGAGGTTGATGTTTACAGCTGCTTTTGACTGCATGTTGTCAGTCTCGAGGCTGATACCTGAAGATTATGTAAGATCATGTTGGGCAGCTAAGAAGAGAAAAGCCTAAAAGCAGTGGTTCCCAAACTTCTGTAGGGGCTGGAGATGTAGCTCAGTGGTAGAGCACATGCTTAACATGCGTAAAGATCTGGGTTCAGCCTCTAGCACCAAAAAACAAACACAAAAACCCACTTTGGACAACAGCATCCTCAGGTATGAGAGTGAGGCTCCTTAGCGTAGACTAGGACCTGGGCGTTTGTCTTTTTACGAAGAACTGTGGGTAGTTTCACCCTCCACCAAAGTCTGAGACCTGCTCTCCTTATAGTAACTGCGGCTTCCATGGGATGGAAGTTTCTCATGTAAAGGAAATTTGAGGATTGTCTGCTAATGATTGTAAAAGAGCTCTGCAGTGAAAAAAAAGCATCTCTTACCTTCAGGCTCACTGTCCTCAGCACAGGCCGTGTCTCCTCGAGCTCACCCCATGGTCACAAAATTGACTTCGACTAGTTTCAGTCCTCATACTACTACAGTTTGAGTTGCAGGAGGATCACCTTCAAAGGAAGCAGGAAAGGGACAAAAGCAGTCCTCCCAGATGAATCAACATCCTTTAAGTGATCATCTCAAATGCCCCATAAAAGCTGGTGTCTGTGTCACTCTGGTCAGCAGAAAGGCACATGGCCTCATCTTGCTGAAGGGGAGATGGGAAGAGGCAGCCTTTCAGTGGGGCACACCATGGCCCCAAAGGAAAGCAGTGCTGTTTAACTGAGGACAAGGAAATGGGTGATTGGAGTGGACAACCAGCACACTGCATTTACAAACACCTGCTGTGCAGCAGTACTGGGCTGCATGTGATGTATACATCACCTCATTTGATGAAGGCACACAGACAGGGAGAGTGCCAGGCTCCCATCCAATTTCTAATAAATATAAGGTCCAGGGATTCTTGAGTCCAGAGGCTGCGCAGTGGATAGTCACCTTGCTCATGGGATCCAGTGAAGATCTGCCACACCTACATTTTCATGTAGGGTACATGCAACAAAGTGTTGGCTACTATTTGCTACTATGGGCTCTTCTCATACCAAACATGGAAAAATCAGTTCTTCTGGGGAGACTTTTAAGACCTCTGAAGTAACAGTCACTCTGAAGTAATTGCCACTATGGCAATTCTTTCGTTACTCAAAGTGTTCAATTATTTTACCTACAATTGGCCACTCCTTAATGTACATCACACACCCAGCTCCTATAGCTAGATGCTTTTATCACAGTGTAACAAAATAAATACATTAGGATGGCAGTGTGGCTGAGGGGACTGAGGTTGGACAGCAGACTGGGATTTCAAGTGTCAGATCTTCTACTTTCTTCAAGTTATTTAACCTCGGAATCTGTTTCATCATCGGTGAAATGGGAATCTTTAACCTGGATCATCGGCACTGATGCAAGGCTTAAATGAGGTTCTTCTAAGCTGCATGGCATATAGCAAGAGCTCAGTGAAACTCCTGGTTGCTAGAGTAGCTGAGCAGAGCAGAACTTGGTGCAGAGTAATTGGCTAATAAATGTTTGTTTATATTCTCTCTTACTAGAACTAGGAAAAACCTATGTGTTTCTCACATTCTCACAACCACTCAACACTGCTGACACCGGGTTCCCTAGGAGATGTCACCCTGGCACCCTCTAATTTATTCATTTGTTTGTTTAGTTGGGTTTTTTTTGAGATAGGATCTCACTGTGTAATTCAGGCTGGCCTCCAACATGCAGTGATCTGCTTGGCCCAGGCTTCCAAGTGCTGGGATTACAGGTGTTTACTACCACACCAGCTGGCATTCTCTAATTTAATTTAGGTCTAACAGTATCTACCTAGAGACAGCCTCAGAGCCTACAGGTTAAGGGCTTAGTCCAAAAGACTGCTTTCTACTTCAAACGCCAACTTGTAAGCCCTAGGCTGTGACTTGTGTGTGTATGTAGTGCTTCCATGCCTTCTGCATTATCTGCCAGGCACCCCATGTGGCTAGCAATCAGGAATCCCCAGATCCAGGCCTTTGGGTTTTATGGAGGTTTCATTACATGGCACGACTGATGAAACACTGGCTTTTGATGACAATCTGAACCTTAAGTTCCTTCCCTGGAGAGTGGGAGGTGGGAGAGAGGGGTGGGGACTACAAATTTCAATCTTCCCATCACATGGTTGCTTTGGCAACCAGCTCCCAGTCTGAGATTATTTAGGAGCGCCCAGCCATTAGTCATCTCATTAGCACATACATTTCACTCACTGTTTAAAAAAAGAGATTGCAAGGACTTCAGGAGTTTAGGAACCAGGGTCCCTCACAAAATATTTATTTCTTTTTACCTCACACTTTCATATCCTTCAATTCGTATAGTTGTTACAAAGTAGTTTTTAGTCTCTATAGCAGTAGATTTTAACTCCTGAGTAGGGAGGCCCATATCTAAATGAGCATCCTATCTGGTGCTATGAGCAGATATAGGGGCTTTTAAAGATACTATCATTTATCTAAAAGTTACGAGGAAGAACACTGACTCTTTTTAAGGAATGGCTGGGAATTTGTCAGCAGAGGTTAAAAAAAAAAAAAAAAGAGTACCCAAGGGAGCAGGGAATTCTAATTGGAAGTGAAGTGAAGACACACTGAATTTTTAAAAATACATAATTCAGTGGTTAGATGAAGCAAAAACTTTGTGAGATTACCCTTCCTGACCTTGGGGACCCTTGTTCTGAAGTATCTTCCCTGGCAGAGGTGAAACTGACTGCTGACTCTTCCAAGCCCCTGTTCGCAGCTAGAGCGAAATGTTCTTGCTTGGCTGGCATCTGGAGATCTTGGGATTTCCTTCTGCTTCACCTCAGGGTTCAAGGAGCACAGTTACCATGAGTCTTCTGGTTTATGCTCAAGGTTTCAAAGCCACTACAGATGCCAACATGTAAAATTCAAAAGAGCCCATGGCAATGCTCGCTTTGATCTCATCTGGATCAAATCCATGGTAGCTGCCCCAGGGCAAGGGGGGGATCTTTTTCAAGCCCCAGAGCTGGACAGGGGACAGTATGGTCCAGCAAGCTAAGATCATGTGATTTGTAATTGGCCCGACCTAGGATCCCACCCTGGCCTTGGTGTTTGACTCCTATGTGACACTGGGCAAGTTGTTTGATTTTTTGCAGCCTTGGTTCCCTCGTCTGTCAAATGAGATCAGCCACCTGGAACCTGTTCTGTACTTGGTTCCACAGTGGATGAGCCAGAGAAGGCTGCTCTTATGCAGTGGTGTGTTTGTTGGGGGAAACAGAAAATGAGCAGGGTAACTTCTGAAGAAAGTAAGAATGGGTTGATGGAATAGATGGGCACACTTTCAGAAGAGGGTGACATGGGAGTATGAACTAGGCCCGCTGTGTTTCAAGGTGGGGTAGACTGGCACAGATGCTGGCTCCAGCATGAGGGTAGAGCAGTGAGTGGGTGGACCGTCATCGTTAGAGTCATTGAAAAGGGATTGGGCCCAGGTCCATGAAGCCTTTGATGTTGAGGTGAGCAGTTTTGATTGTAATCTAGGTGTGTGGAGGAGGTACTGAGGATTTGGGGCATGAGTGGGTGTGACTTTGTTCATAACTGAACAGGCCTCTATGGACTGGACTCTAGGAAAAGGGTGGGGGTGGGGTTTGAATAAAAGTCAGGGTTATGTAGAGATCTGCTTTAGAGGACACTGTTTGAGGGAGGGCCAGCAGAGGGCAAATGTGGTCATAGTTGGCACATGTGTCAGAGCTAGGGTCTGCTCTTAGGGCTTCCCTGTTACTGTAAAGAGAAGGAGGAGGAGGAAGGAAGGAAAAGAATCAAAGGTAGTCCTTCCCTGGGGTTGGGCCCTAACAATTACCAGACTACTAGTAACTTTTTCACCATGACAGGGAAAATTGAGTGATAGGCAAGTTTTGTGGGACTAACATTGGTTTCTATCAGGTTAATTACATGACGTCTCTTTGATGTTCAGCTGAGCTCTCCAACCAGCTAGGTGTGTTG